TCTTTCATGTCACGGAAATTCCCTCTTACGTGATACCCAACGACAATAACGAAGGTTAATTAGACGGGCCGACACATCGGGCGTTAAATTGACACTAGCACGCTATACTCGAGTAGAGTATATTATTCTAGCGGGACGGTAGATTGATACAAATTGCCTTCAATTTCCTTTAATCTGCTTTACTCGAGAAAAAGCTTAGAAGCATGTCGGGACATCTTCCGGAAGGGGTTAATCAATATCGATAAAATCATTGTCTACCTTACCAACATTTATATATTCAATCGATAAAACAGAAATTTCATTAAACTTCTATGCTCAGTAAATTGATGGCGCTATCGTTTCGAAATATCCAATCGAATTTAATCGATTCTTTTGAAGAATCTCGAACGGACGCGTAAAATTATAATATGAAAGAAGAAAATCGTAACGCGATATTAATATTATTAAGTCTACCGTATATAATTCTGTCCATTTTGAAAATAAAATAAAATAATAATAAATTATTCATCATTTGATTAATTCATTAATTTAATTAGTTTTTAACTCTTTTCAATATGGTGGCAATTTGTCTATTACATTTTAGGAAATGGGGCCTTACACCTAGTGACGAATAATTGAACTTATGTTTGTTTGAACAGACACAATTTTCTGGTAGACCTAATAAATTATCCAATTGACTGCCAGACATATTTCAGAGTGTCTTGCTTTAAATTTTGAAAAATATATATTACTGATTAATATTGTAATGGTGTTTACAAAAATCGATAATTAATGTTTTTTACACCCCATATTAATATTTTATTCAATCGTTTTAATAATTCTTAACGCAAATAACCATTTGTAATGAATCTAAAATTGCAGCACATCCTACGAGATTCTCGTAGTTGATAGTCAATGGGTTAAATAAATTAATGTTACACGTACACACAAATGATTGTTTTTAAATGATTAATAATTTCTAAAAGATACAATCTTAGATATTTTTTTTTGCAATTTCATTACTTTATTTATTCGTCCAATAAATTTTTTTTTTTTTTTTTTTAATTTCAATCTTATCATGCGTAATAATAATTGAAGTATGCATTGCAAATTAATATATTTGATTTTTCCAATGAATTCAACGGAATCTGGATCGAATCTGATACGATAGATCATTTATAAACAATTATTAGATATTTTTTTTTTTGTAAATATAGTAATCGAAGATTCAATCTAAACAGTTTAATAATGTTACGAGAGTTAATAGAGAGTTAAATAGAGTATACTAGAGAGAAATATGCTGGATCGTAGTTTATTCATTTTCTATAAATCACGAGTACTATATTATCCTCTCTCTCTCTCTCTCTCTCTCTGTATATATATATATATTTCTTTTGATGTTTCTTTTTCATTGAATAATTCAAAGTATCTCGTTCGATTCAATTAAAAGTAGGAAGTAATTTAGGTCAAACGATAAGATAAAATTGATCTGGACCATAAGTCTATCGTATTAAGTCTCGTTCCAGTTTCAATCAAAAGTATTCGAGATATTCTCGAATAAAATTAAATCAATTCGATATTATTAATTTGAAGATAAAACGAGATCTAATCTTAAGTATAATATATATATATTAACTATCATTCGATATTAACCTAACGCAACATTGTTGTTTTCATTTCAGTTGCCGGATTTGAACAATCTCGATGAAAAGGTGAGTTCACACCAAAAATAACGAACTAATGTTATTTTGGATATACAATGAGCGGGTTCACTGATGTTCGAACTGGTAAGCGTAATTCGAAAATATTTTCCTTGGCGTCCCGCCACACACAAACACACACACACACACACACAAGCATACACGCATACACATACAGATTTCGGTCTCTTTAACCGATTTATTTTCATGTTTAGGGGGTTGAAAATCTTAATGCCAAGAATTTGCAACTATCTATTCGAAATTCAACGAAAAAAAGAAGAAGAAAAAAATGATCTATCGTTTCACCCAATTCCTAGATATTAATTTCAAAATCATTTTTATTTATTTCGAGGACTCCTTCACAAGGCTCGAGAAAAAATTTCGAAAAAAAAAAAAAGGAAAAAAGGATAGGCAAATAAATCAGAAATGAGATAAAGATAATCCGTAAGAACTGCGTGAAAAAAAAAAAAAGAAAAGATTATTATCGTTTGATACTCGGCACAAATTTCGTAATCTTTTTTTTTTCCCTTCATATTCATCGTTCGAATACTTGAAGACTTTTAAACATAAGGCCAACCAGTCTTGATCTCAACGTGATCCCGAAGGTGCTGCTAAAGAATTGCAAGGCCCTCATCTTCTTCCTCTTCTTCCTCTTCTTCATCTTCATCTTCATCTTACGTTCTTCTTACGCAACTCAAACCTATGGAATAATTTTCTTCGTCTTTCACGTAATATTCGTTAGGTTGGTAAGGTAGCTAGGTAACTCTTCTACTTTCACCAAGTCAAGACCGTTGAACTTTCTTTTTCCGCATTTCATTTTCTATTCCCTTCGAGACGAATTTTGCTTCTTCTTCGTCTTCTTCTTCTTTCTTGCCATAAAAGAAAAAGAAATGAAACGAAATGAAATGATGCGGGAGGGAAGGGAAGGGAAGGGATGTTGGGGGATGAAAGAGTGGGGGAGGGAGAAAGGGAAATCTCGGTCGACGTACGTTTTATTTAACGCGTTTAGTATTCAGTCTCGTAGACGAACGTAGTAACATTCCGGCAGGTGCAATGGCATCGAAAAGAGAAATAAAAAAAAAAAGAAAGAAAGCAAGCAATAGAAAGAGAGGGAGAACAAGTTTTGTATTTGCAGGTGTGAAGAACCGTGGCCAACGAGGTCGTCGATCGGTTCGGACGTTTTCTTCAACTGACTCTTCTGTTTAGTTAAATTGCAACAAGTTGAGTTTGATCGAAGAAACGAATGAACGAACGAACGAACGTAGTAGCAATCTTTTTTTTTTTTTTTTTTTTTTTGTCAAGTTATTAGAAGAATTTAGGTTAATGCCTTTTGGCATGATCGTCACTTTTCACAAATTTACGAATTTACGAAGAAAGTAAGAAAAATGTTAAGAGAGAAGAAAGAAATGAAAATGTAGAAAACGCTTAAGAAACGTGTCGTCTATTTAATTTCGCGATAATGTTGCAATTACGAAAATAAATGAGATTAGAAAATTAATGAAATAATAATAATAATAATAAAATGAAATAATTAATAACAATAGGGCGTATCACGTCTTTAGGAGAAGAAGAAGATTATTTTATCGTATGTTCTCATAGGTGTATTTAGAGATTAAGAAAATATTTGTGTCAGCAGCAGCGTGTTTAACTGCGATCGTTGTCTCTGATCAACACTTGCCAGATACCCCAACTCTTTGTAAACAGGATGGAATTCGCATTCGCATATTCTCTTCTAACTGACAAGAGTATTAGTATTAGTATTAGTATTAGTAGTAGTAGTAGTAGTAGAAGTGGTTTTGCTGCATCGCAGCGTTGTAACCCGTGTGTGTAGGCTTCGGACATATTTATGAAAAATGTTCAACGTTATTGCTTAGGATTTCATTTATTATTTGCGATGATTATTATTATTATTATTATTGAGAAATTAGGAAAGATAGATTCTCTTTATCTCTCTCTTTTTCTTAAAAAAATAAAAAGATTGAAAGAGAGAGAGAGAGAGAGAGAGAGAGAGAGATCTTTGCAACAAACATAAGAGATAGGAAGACGAGTAAAGAAAAAAAAGAAAAAAAAGAGAAAAATATTCACGAAACACGATTATTATTCTAAATTCGTCTCTTCTCGTTTTGTATGGTAAAACGTAATAAAAAAAGAAAAAGATCTACTATCATAACGACTTGAAATATTATTATCGTGCTCTTACCGTTACCATTAATTTTTTTTTCTTTTTTATGCAAATTCGCAAAAGAACCACAAAGGTAATTAATTGATAATTAACCATAAGTCAATAATAGTAATTTATTTTATGAAATTATTGAGTTGACAAGAAAGTAATTTCGGTCTTGCACCAATACATAATAAAGTTATGGTTTTTTTTTTTTTTTCGTTTTAATTTTGTTAATGTTTGAATTTGTGTTCTTTTAAGGTTTGGTAAGTAGTTGACACTTTTAAATTGCTATAGAAACACAAATTTCGTGTAATTTTGTTTACAACTGTTTAGAAACAATTTAGTTTTCATTTCACACTAGAAAATTGAAATTACCTTCTTGTCAATCCAAGATCTGGTACAATGTAAATGTAGCATTAAAACAACAACATTAACAAATAATAATATTTTTTCATATATTATATAATAATATTTTTTTCAAATATTCAACAAAATATCGTGTATTAATAATAAATGTTATTGATGATAGAAAAAGTAGTAGAAGTAGAAGAAGAAGAAGAAGAAAAAAAAAAAAAAGAATTAAAATAGTTAGTGGGTGAGCCTGTTGACGCCAATGAGAGGACGACGACGATGACGACGATGACGACAGACGAAGAGAGAGAAGAACACGGACGACATTCTAATACACTCATATACGAGAGAAAGAGAAAGAAAGAGACAAAGAAAGAGAGAGAGAGAGAGAATGAGAGAGTGTGAGAGAGACACACATTAATAATTCCGTAATAGCGAGCCGCGCACACGCGTGTTTTCTTCTTCTTCTCTCTTGCCACGAGCGTAAACGCACGCGCGCACTGGTACGCATACACACATCGGCAGAGACCGTATATGGCCGATCTTGGTAAACAACAGTGGTTGCCAAATCGTGGGCTGCTATTAATAAATAGAACACGATTTACGCAATGTTATAATACATTCGTTTCTTTTATTCGTTCGTTCTTAACCGAAAATATACAGCTTCTCTTAATCGTTTTAATATTTTTAATTAAAAAAAAAAAAAAAAAAAAAAAATTGTGGATAGATTAGAAATATTTAGTTGTTTCGAAGAACCATCGGTGAGAATGGTTTTTTAGACATATCGAATATGTGTGTGTGTCTCTCTCTCNTTGCCAAATCGTGGGCTGCTATTAATAAATAGAACACGATTTACGCAATGTTATAATACATTCGTTTCTTTTATTCGTTCGTTCTTAACCGAAAAAAATCATGTACTTTAATTAGAATTATTATTATTATTATTATATTTAAAAAAAAAACGTATATTGTGGATAGATTAGAAATATTTAGTTGTTTCGAAGAACCATCGGTGAGAATGGTTTTTTAGACATATCGAATATGTGTGTGTGTCTCTCTCTCTCTCTCTCTGTTTCTCTCTTTCTCTCTTTCTCTCTTTTTCGTAGGCGCACACATACACGCTGTCTGTTCCGAATAAAACGTGATTAAATTAACAACGATATAAATAGACACGTGGCGGAGTAAGCACGATTATTCGCACGCCCCTATTTTTCTATCCATCGTACTCTCTCTCTCTCCCTCCCTCTCTCTCTCTTACTGTTTCTTTCTCTCTTTCTTTCTTTCTCTCTCTCTCTCTCTCTCTCTCTTTCTCTCTTTGGTAAGCGGATATGCTAGGCTAGAAGCAAATACGCTCGATCACGATAGTAATTCTTCATGCGTGTCGTGTGTAACCTTTATATATGTATATGTATATATATAATTCACGTGTACGCGTGTGCAAAACAGACCTCGAGGAACATTATAGGGTGACGTGCTGTCGAGCGTCGTTGACTTTTAATAAACAGAATTAAAATCTCTCTCTCTCTCTCTCTCTCTCTCTCTTTGGATAATATACCTGTACATAAAGATTGTGGTTCCAACATAACTTTACATACATATATGTATGTATGTATAGAAATAATACGTACGCATTTTATTTTATTTTTATATATATTATTTGACCATAAAATACAATACGTAAATAATATAACGACGAGTATATATGTATAATTAATTTACCAATCGACGATATATATATATATATTATCATGAAACGTGGTTGAGATAAGATTCGTGCATTCACTTATATAATTGCTGGATTTTTTTTTTGTGTGCTTTTATTACTATACCTGAAATTAAAAAGAGGGAGGGGGTGGGTGTGGGGGAGTGAGGGAGAAGGTCGAATTCCATATTTTATCCAAATTTTATTGATTCGACGTAAAACACATTTTTTTTTTTTATTTGTTTTGTTTTGTTTTGTTTTTATGACTTCATTTCTTAATGAAAAAAAAAAAAAGAAAAAAAGATAGTATATCGATTAATTGGAAAGAACATTTTTCTAATATTTATGTTGTATTTTATTGTTACTATTTTAAATGTAAATAATGAAAAAAAAAAAAAAAATCATAATTGTAATTATAATCATCGTGTGTTATAAAATAAAATGTGAATTTTTTTTTTTTTTTTTATACTTCTCTCTTTCATTGAATTTTTGAAAACAAAAGTTTAATGTCGACTGTGATAAATCAAAATCTTTGTTTAAATATGTACACACGCATGAGTAGATTTGTTTCACGTGTCAACCGGCTGTTCCTTTCGGTAAATTCTCTTCCCCTTCTTCTTTCACCTTCCCACCACTATTTTCTATTATAGTTTCTTTCTCTTTTTGTTTTGTTTTTCTGTCTTAAGAATATAAAAGATCAAAATTTTAACAAGGAAAAATAAGATAAAAAAAAAAAAAAAGAAAGAAAAAAGTCCAGATGTGACAAGTGTGTACGTGTAAAAGATAATTTTACGG